CAGCGCCGGTATCTATCCAACAATTTCCTGTTCTAGCTAGAGATGTTCGCAAACTACACAGCCACATGGGCCAACAGCGTCCTTACGGTTTCCCCCTTTCTCGCTTTTTATTTCTCTCTCTTGTTTAACTTTTTCAGGTTTTGGATCAAGCCGGATTTATGGGGTAGCTTTCTGGGTTTGTAGCTGTATCATCCAACGGTACATAACGGAAGGCAAATGTGCGATCTTCTAAGGATGCGTTAAAAAGCAGAGACGACGATGAATTGAACCCACCGTTAAAGGTTACAGATTTAGTCCTCCTCCGTTTGACTCTGTTTATTCGTAATCTTCTCCCTAGTCAGGCAAGGACCCTTTATTCGCCCTGTTGTTGTCGTCATCGATGCGTAAAAGATGAACCTGAACGCCGCTAGTTCTGCTGCTTACCATTCTGTGCTCTTGTGCACTCGATTCTTTACCTGCCAAGCGTTTATTCGATGGCGTAGCGATAAGATGCAAAACATAACATCTAATCTAACATGGCTCAACCTCGAACAATCTCGGTACACTCTGACGCCAAGGGTGCTTACTGATGAGCCAGGTACGCAGTAATGGTCGCCCCGACGAGGCGGGCCAACATGTGAAGACAAAGCTAGAAACGGAGGAAAATAGGGTGCGAGATGGCGAAAAACAACACTTGCTCGAGATAACATTGTACGATCTGCTGGTTGATGCATTTGTTTGCTGGCGATGCTACACTAGCCGTCGGCGGTCATCTCCCACTATCTAAGCGACAGCGGGGCTTGTCGGCTGGCTGACTTCTTCGATCGACAAACTTGTACGACGAAGCCACTGCACAGATCTCAATCACGTGGATAAGTAACGGAGAGTAAGACATCACCGTAAAATCGAATTCAGTTAGCTTTGCAGCAGTGTGCGCAGATATACGCCATATATCGATCGCCTTGCTGCACCGCCTGTATACATTTTGGTTACGCTTCCTTGAAGCTATTGTCAGTCTGTAGCTCCCCACATACACATATATATATATATATCTCACGTTTAGAGGTGTTACGTTTCCTGATCGCGTGTCCTTGATAGCGCTTTGTGTGTCCTTCTGTAATAACCCACTTGTTAGTTATAACCCACTTGTTTACAAGTGGCCGGTTCCGCAAAAGATATGCATCCTTAGGCTTTCTTCGGTAATTTTTTCGTATTTTTCTTATACAGATAACTGATTATAACGATATGTATTTTTGATGTGGCGTTTATATAAGCGAAATCATCAAAAACGATGTCGAAAGATACCCATGTCGGTCGACGAATACTCAGAGACAAAAATTTACGACAGCCGAAAAAGTAAGTAAGCTGAGTTCATCAAATCAAACCCAATGTATCGTGCAGTATTCGATGTTAGTCAATCTCTTTGTTTGATGAAACGCGTGCGTCCGCATCTGCCTGTGCGTGGACAAGACGAACTTTTATTTAGACAACTTTTGGATAAGCCCTCTCGGATATGAATTGTAAAACCATAGATGTTGTCATGGTTATTTTCTGTGCGTTTGGTCTAATACAGTCTGTCTCGGCCAAGTATTTATTCTGGGCCTCTTATCGCAGTAATTTTCCTTTCAAGGGCTCCTCATTGCCCATTCCGTTTAACAGAGTTTGACTTCAAGACAAAGCCATTATTGCATTGTTTACGTTTTCCTATCTCTTAGATGTTTTCTGCTTTGCTTGCTAAAAGTTTCTCGTTAAATACGCCGAAATGTAGTTCGGTGCGACCGATGATGCTTCGATTCAACATCACCACGTGTCGCTTTGCCTAGCGCAAGAGCAGATCGTTTACGATCAAAAGGAAAGCACCCTTCTTAATTAGACGACAAACCGCTTCACCTAGTAAAGCGGGATCGTAGTTTTCCAGTACAACAACCACTGAGAAACATCTACAGAAACGGCCTTACATCGAAGTCTTAGTCCTTAAATCAAGCTAGCAGGAGCTTCTCGTAGGAATTGTCAATATTTTTCTGATACGAATTTCGCTTAGAACCTACGCCCGTGTGCTACTTTGATCCTAATCTTGTGATCACTCACATGCGTAGCTTTACTACTTCTTGTTCCTCTTACGTTCTCCCAGAGCGTCCTCTCTCCTTTTTGCGGTGTTGCTGCTCTATCCAGTTTGGCAATGATCGCCTCCCTCCGCACCTCCTGTATCTCCCTCTCCCTCTCTCTATGACTGTGCTCGTTGTGCGTGACTGCTGACTCTGAATAGTCTGCTGTGTTTCACCCCTTCTGTATTGTTATTTTGCATCATCCTCGGTTATAGCGACGTTTATTTTCTTGTGTACCAATGAACAGATCCTTTAGGAAATGGGGACGCACATTTCCGAACCCAGTTTTCAGGCCGCATCGACTCTATCTGCTTTTCCCAACTGTCTTCGTCATCGTCGTAGTCACTGTCGTCGGCCTCCGGTGCTACTGCGATGAGAAAACTACTACAAAAGTTGCAAAACACGTCCGACTATCTCTATTCTCTTCTATCTTACATACGCCCCTGTACTGAGGCTTTACTGCCTTTATGCTGCTTGAGGCACCTGCAGTACATAGCAATATTGTGCGCTCATGTGCGTGGTGCGTGTTTTTTTCCCTTGCTTTTTTTGTCAGAGAATCCGGATATTCCCGTGCAGTAGACGTTGGCATTTGCCTCTTTTTCCTTTCTTGGCGCATTCTTCGCAGCGTCTTGGCAAGATGAAGCTACCAGACAAGCACGGAATAGCCCGTCTGCGAATGCTGAAGGCCTGACCGAACAAGGTCCGGGATAGAAGAGTAAAAAAGGTTGAGAGAACGAAAGAAAAAGAGAACGGGACAGGTACACTAGACGGAAGAGGCTAAGGCGAGGGCGACAAAAGCGATGAAGTATAGTCGTGAAGGCAGGCAACGGCCGCAACAACTGAGGATTGCATGGGTCCCGACATCATCATCTTTTGTTGAGGTATGCGTACGTCCTTACATCTGTCGCGGCTGCTGTCGTCTGACGGCGCCTGGCCAACCGTAAGGTGTTACTTTTTGTTATTGACAATGTATACTCTGTCGCTCGGTAGGTGCTTTGTCCCTTCGTCGTCGTAGTAGAGGTAGTTTAGGAAGAAAGGCTGCGAAAGGAGCATGAACTCGGCGCGGATAGGTAGTAGATCTCCAGAAGGGAAATTGGTTGCTTGGGGAGTTAACACTGTTTTATGCTTTGCCTGCTCTTGTATTGTCATCACTGGCATCTTCAGCGGCTGCCAAACAACAGCACAGGCTAATTGATAGTACCATAGTTTGCCGATATGCATTCGAACTTATGCTCCGAAGAGTCTACTTGCTTCTTCATTGCCGTTACCCCGATCTCTAGAATGACCTGTAAATACGACCTGCGCGACATCCCGTCTGCCCCCTTGGACTAGACAAGTGGCACACAGCAAAGTGGGTAGACCAGAAGCATCGTCGACTAAGTTGCTAGCGCCCTTTAAACGCCACGAATCGCCTCCTTCGTAACCTTTGTTAACGCAGCGAAAGATAGTGTTACAATGCATGCCAGCTTCGGTACAGGTCTTCGTACCCCTCGTTCGTTTATTTAATGTAAAAGGGTGGGTTTAAATGAAATATACAAGTGGCTCAGGATCGAAGGGTGATGTTACACACTAAATTTGCTAGTTCTTTGAGTCCTTCCAATGGCCATCAATTCAATCAGGTTGACACAATAACGGCCATACATAAATATATATATATATATTGCCATATATATACCATATATTGCCAGCGGTCCTAGACCATATATATTAATAGGTATCTATATAGCTAAAAGATTCAACAATTGAACTATATCGTCTCTAAATAAAACAAGAATGTTCAATACTGTTTCGCTCGTATGAATCTTTCCTGTTAAAATAAAATATTTAATTAATAAAATATTTAAATAAAATAAAATATTTATCCATCAATGACTTAACATATGATCTAGGCAGAATATCATGATTGTAAACTTAGCAATATTATTATGCTTTGATAGCATCTCCCTTTTGTCGTATGTCGATCGGTTAACGCGGCAGCCACTAATATACCAGAAAAAAGCGGGAACTATGAGGAACTCCATCTGCTGATACCAATTAGACGGAGCCGGACATTGTACTATATATAATTTCACTATATTCAAAGAATTAACATAGAGATTCCTGCACTTTTCATCTGTATCGCTAATTTGTTACACGATTAGGCCAAATTATGTTTTAGCCGTAATTCCTACCCACTACCACGAACCGTATGATATCTTTTATGCTTGATGAGCTTATAATACGTTACAATGGCATGAGGCGATTAACACTAGCTGCTGTAGGTAGGTAAATTAAAATGCAAAAAAAAAAAAAGTATTACAGATACCCATTCGTAACCCATATTTGATAGGCATCTAATCACAACTGTGTGACCGAAACATTAAGTTAACTGGGAACGACGACAAGCACGCTTTTCCGTCTTCGAGTTTCTTTCTCTTTCAAGAATAGGTAAACGCATGTTAGAAATAGGACATCTATGACTTATAATCCGTCAAGATAGTAGGCTGCCGTATCCGTCCTCCTCCCGCAAGCTTCCGTTTCGAACTGTTGCAGCACGATTGTTGTAATACAATTGTCCCACGGAAAGCAAAGATTGGAGTGACTCATAAATGAAGGGAGACCTGACTTTTCTGGTTGGTTGATTAAGTAGTTCCAGGCGTTTGTAGAACCACGCTTCTCATGAAAGGTCTTTTTGTATAGATACGAATGGTCATATATTCTGTTAAAAATGCCCAGAGGCTGTTTGCTTCAAACAGTCCCATCATGCACAGGACGTGTTCTTGACTCAGGCTGTATAACGATTTACTGTGGCTTATTCTTGTATTTAGGCGTGACTATTTCAGGTTCGATAAGTACAAGGGCTTGGTAATTGAAATACATCCAACTAGATATTATTTTTTTTATCATCTCTCTTTATCACCTATCACTAATACTCACGAGGACAGTAGATACGATGAGCGTTTTGTTCCTAAGACGAAGGGAGTCATAGTCGGATGTTGAATTGTCCTCAACAACGACCCGCTGCTTCGGATTCCAGTAGCCCACCTAATTGCACAGAAACAGACGTCGTAAAAATAAGTTACGTAAACTAGAGAAGATTCTTCGCGATTTGGTCACAAATTAGATTTAGCTAGAACAAGGACGGGCTGGCATTTTCAAAAGTGTGGATGCTCTTGTGTGTTTTTTTTTTTGTTACACGCATCATCACAATAACCATATAGATCTATTAGAGCGTTGACAAAAATCGAGTCACATTATATACATCTCGTCAAAGCCTATTATCACATTGTAGTAAAGAAATTAAGGTTTAGATGACATATAGAAAAAAATTCACTCTTATATATTAAATAGCTCACGCTATACATATGCTGCATGTATGCGTGCCTATTCTCCGGCTTAGTTCACGTCCAGCGCCAAGCGGCCAACCAGCCGGAGACTGGCGGTCGTAGCTCGCTGCTGGTTTCCACCTTCATGAAGAGATGCGCTTCGCTAGAGAGCAGCTCATTACTAGGAAATCCCGCTTCTATGTCTCTTGCGGTCTTCCTCTCTGTGAGCAGTTGCTGAGAACTCAGCACAGCCTACATATCCAGTGCCCTTCGTCATGATGTCGGTCGGTCGGTCGGTCACTGTGTAACCCCATTAAAATCGCCTCATGTGGTCATCAGACTTTGCGGGGCGAAGGCTGAGAGAGAGCATATCCTTGCAGCAAGGAGCAAGTGCAGGCCTCGCAGGCTATTCGCAGGACCGCGGCAGTGCGGGTCGGGCATATGAGCCAGAGGGTATGGCGTATCGAAGCGGGCATCTTCTGCAACGCCCTACGATGGCCGCAGTGTAGCTGGTCCGCTGGACGGATAGACGATAAATTAACACAGTGAATGCCAATGGAGTGTACGTTCTCTCCGATGCGAAGGTTCCAGTGCTTCGCCTGAAAGGAACCCGCTAGGCAGGCAAAACTGTTCGCGAAGGAAGGACCAGATCGGCGGGTCAAGGGACCATCATTATTACAGTCAGCCCGCCAAAACGAGACATTACAGGCAATAGTGGATGATACGGAACAATAGGCATTCTTTGGAATAAACATTACACATGCGTGTGTTGATGTCGATAATACAAGAAAATATGGGTCGGCTTTGTGTCAGTGATATGTACTCGGCTATTATAATACAGGAAGAGGTCGTAAAACCAACGACAATTCATTTAGTTTTAACTTCCGTAGCTGAACAATGAAATTTTATATAACAGTACAATTAGCTCTAATAGCAGTTAGAAGAAAAGAACATTAAGCTGCAAATCGAATATGCTTACTAATAGAAAATGGCGACGAGATGGGACACTGAACATTTTCCTCACAAAGAAGCAACCTAAATAAGCTACTTTTTATGTCACACTTTTATAGGTTTCCGTTGGTTGGAGCTACAAAAATTGATATTCTCCCGTTGTAAATTTCTTACTTGAAAAATAACTGGTAGATATGTTAAGCATCCGAAACTAGCCCTTTCAGTGGCATGGTTAAGAGTTGCTTCTACGGCGGAAAAAAAGCGGTGTGAATGACTTTGGGTGTTTTTTTGTTAACATCCCATTTGTCTATTTTTCGAAATATCGTATAGATCCGCGGCTTTGTGCCGATAGGCTCATAAAGGCGCGGGAGATAATATACACAACGGTAAAAAACGCTTTAGCAGAGCTAAATCTCTGAAAATTAATATGTGTAAAATATATCAAGGAATGCATTACATGGAGTAAATCATCAATAATTTTTTTACCTTTCGTCACGTTGAGTAATTCATCTAATCTACAGCTTAATAACAAAGATAAGAAGAAGTACTGTGTTGTCATGACAAATGTATTCACGTTCCGATTCTCCTACCTTTTGTAGGCCGTCTGTCTTGAGAGACATGACGTCGAGCTGGAACGTTGAACGGAAGCCTTGCGAGTCGAAACTAATATCACCGGTTAGACCCTGCAAAGTTATCTGGAATAGAAATTAAATAGAAGTTAGCAATGAGTCCATTAAATACATTATGGGATCTTCAGCAAAAATCAACACTAAATACAAACAGCGAACCCATCATACTGGTAGAGATATTATGAGCTCGCCTAATTGTCTCGAGCTATGAATGAGAACAGTTGAGGTCGTGCCTTCAATATTTTTTTTGATCACAATCGGCTTAATATGTTTCGCTTTGCTCTCATACGTTTTGACAGTTTGATGTCGATATTTTGATGCCAATACGGTAGCAGACGCCATACTAGGTAGACGCACACGTCTGTCGATAATTCGACGAATCAGTTTAATTATAGCCGAGTGGTAAAAAGGCATCAAAAGATGAGTTCAAGGACACGTCTAAGAGAGTGACGTCACCAGGCACGGCCACTGTCATGTAGAGCAGAGTAACGAGATGTATAAGGTCAAATGTGGCGGGTCCAAAGGATGCACGAGGGCAAACGGTAGCAAGTTTTGTCCTGATTTCTGCTAATATACTGCGTATGAATAAATTAACTCAGGAACCAGACGCCAGTTCATTTGTCAGCCTTTATTGTCCTCATAACCATAAAACGAGAACGAAGTTCACTCGGTGATTCTGGGACTTAACAGTAACGAAGACGGACCCTCCCACTCGCCGACTAAACTGACGGAATGTTTAATAAATTCAAGACAAACATTGGTACTCAATGGAACGAAACGGGACGCAATCGCACGTACCCTGCCAGTTTCAACCGAACAAAGACTCGAGCACAGTGTGAAAAGGACCGCTTAAGCGGCACTTGTTTTCACGCCTCCCGACGGTACAACAACGTTACAGAATTTTATAAACAACAAATCGAAAGAAAGAGCAGCTGAACAAGAATATCAAAAAGATAAATAAACAAACAGTCACATAATGCGTAAAAATACACGCATGGCTTGGAACTTAAATCGTTTCGCGTAGTCTTCTAGGTTGTCTGTGAAGGTGTATTCAAGTGTTCTTCGCCGTAGTTACGGACGCTGTTCAGTTAAAGCGCTTTTATAATGTTGCGATAACGATTAGGAATAGGGAATAAGACAAACATGTACCAGTATACGTGACTGTATACGGGATAAAGGACTTCGATAATAAATTAAGGAATTTTTAGATTTATCGCTATTTTTATTTTTTTTTTCAATTTTTTGTCTTATTTCATTCCTAAATGTGGAAACGTATATAGTTGTTTAAGTGAAAGACAGCTAGTTTTCTATTCCTCTCCCTTTTTAGAATGAGTCAACTTTTGTGCGTGTTGATAACCGGTACCGTTATCAACTGCTTAATGGACGTTAAAAGCTGCTTAACTGGATGCTAGTTAAGCAACCATGTTAGTGAAGAACCAGCGATGTCTACAGGCTTCTTGCCACAAAGATTGTGTATATGTATTACACGCGTCTGTGCTAGTATTACTATGGCTGAAGCAAGAAAGCCAGATCTTCGCCCCTCAACCGTTTGCATCTTTTGCGCTGTTCCAGGCAACCTTGCTTTCTGCCGTCCACTTCTGCTAACATCTGCAAAGTCACGTTATGCCGTTATGCCAATCCAAAGGAAAAGATTTTTACGGGCTGCAAAAGCAGCGTTCGATGTGCACTCTCTTGTCCCGTTGATATAGAATGAAGAACGGGAACAGGACTTTGTTGTCCACATTTTGCAACTACCATCGCGGCTGTTCGTAACTGCGGTCATCGCCGTTGTTCGTTTTCGAACGCTCTCGTGTTTGCAATGCAGGCCTGGGTCCCTGTCAGCTCACGGACTCTGTCCCGGCCACTATCGTAATAAATCGATCTAGATGACGGCGGCAGGCACAGAACCGCCTTCTGCTTTGACGACCGAGGTGCAGGCGCAGGGCATTTTTGTTAACGGGGGAGCATTGCTGTGGTGGACGACGGTTTCCTGTTTATGCCGTGAGAAGGACAGAAAGTTTCGAGCAAGAAACTTCAATCATTGTGCTCGTCCCAGCTGGTTAACCTGTTTGCGGTTGCAATTTTCGAGAGCTGCAAGCTTACAGATCGCTTCGCAGTAGCGTTGCACGAGCTCCTTGCTAGTGGAATGGTTCAGCAAACACGCTCGGCTAGATTCTCTGTGAGGACGGTTGACCTAGCAACGCCCTATGACAATGAAATAACACATCCTTCGAACTCTAGCAGTTCTTGTGCAAACGGACATATATTGCCTTTAAATCTTTTCTGGTTCAACAAAAAGCGGAAAAAGAGGGAAAACAAAGTTGGAGTAACAAGCATACCCGACCTACTTGGCTTTTTGTTTAGCCCTTCCGGCCATCCGTGCCGTCTTTGGCCTTGATATATAGGCTACTTTGGATATACCTTTTTACCATCGGTTGCCTGGTTGTCGACCAAACCTAGCATAGAGTACTTTCACTTCTTTCCGGAACACGCAGTGGAAAAGATTGGGTGACGGGGAAAGAACCTTTGGCCATGACAGGATCGACAGGAATGGGAAGCATAGATGCTTCCAATCATGTAACATGCAGCTGCTCCGTCATGCCTGCTTGAAGTGATGTCTGTACTTCCTAGTAGGCAGTAAGTTACCAGACTTTGATCTAGTTCTGTACAACGAAAGAAATGACGACCTATAGAACAAATAAGTAAGTTAGCTAAAACAGGAGTTCTACGTAAAGCTGTAAGAGAACTCAGGGATCGAGTTGGACTTTATCTAAGGTTCCCGCTGCTTCTCTCAGAGAAATCATAATGTCCTTTCGCGCTATAACTTCGCGCGCGGGCGCGACGCCTTATTGTACGGATGAACTGGCTATCAACCTAACAAACTCATCGATAGAAGCGTTGCGTGAAAACAACCATTCCTTGAACTGTAACAGCAATAGCAGCCATTATGGCTACAAGCATTATTAATAGGAGTGGAGGAGATGCGTTGGGCGATTACTGCTGCCGGCTAACTGCTAGAGGAGCGGTAGAACGAATGTATTCCGCCCATGAACTGTCAAAAATATTGATGCAACATATACTTGTAATGCTACCTGAAGCGTGACCGTGTGTGCGTCTGCAATATATTTAAATAAAAACAAAGATAGTTTAACTGACTTTCTTTTTATCCATGCAATGAAGAGATTTAGACATAATTTGACATTCAGCTATAAAATAGACAGCCTATTTGATAAAACAAGTAGGCAGCGACAAGAATTATAGAGAAAGAAGAAATAGACCGTGACCTTGACGTCTGGTTGAGCGCTATCGTTCGATTCTTTGGTTTTTGAAAAACTTGGAAACTTTCGAATAGCCGACCTGCTTTTTCATCTATCTAGTAAAGGTGCTCCCTATACTATAGAGCATTACAACGACGTTCTGGGACTTTGTTCTGGATAGACATCGGCTGCGAGAGATGATGACCACTAGTGTTACCACGAATCTTCCATGGTGCAACCTTCTATGCTTTTCTATGTCTATCCCGTGGCTAGCTCCGCGGCTTTGTGCACTCTTCATAATTCCCTATCGTTACCTGCATAGCCTTCTTCAATCCGCTGGGTCTACCGCAACACAGCTCGCTTAAGCTCTTAGTCCTAGAACGCGTCTCTTTAAGTGTCTTCGGAATTAAGCCCCGTATTCTACCGGGCGGTGAGACCTTAAGGGACAGATACGACAGCAAGCGGCAAAGGAAAGACTACATCGCATTTCTAAATTGCAGATATAATGGTCGTAGCACCATACAGATAAGCAGTTTTCGTCGTTGAACTTAGAGAAGTGGCAGTGGCATACTAAACAAGGTGGAGCGAACTAAGGTACCAAAGACGATACATTGTCTTGGCTTTGTCTAAATTTGCCACCTTATTTCTGCGCCACTGTAATGGTAAGATGCTTTCGAGGAATTGTTCATACCGCATAACACGTGTACCTGTTTTGTCGATGGTATTTGGTCAGAACATGGTCAGTGTATGCCGTAGTGATATAGTACGGTTGGTTCCCAATTCATTATTTGTGAGCAATGAAATTAAACAGTAGTTTTTACAAAGAAAAATAGAGTGTCAGTGGTACAGTAACGCTGAACCAATTCAGGGATTCAAGGATTTATAATACGTAATTATTTATACGTTTTTGTATGCATATAACTTCTTACTATGTCTTATTTAAATAGCTCCCTGCTCAATGTAAAAGCTTATCGAGCTCAAAAGCTCAATGTAAAATATGTATACTTTTTATTAACGGAATGTTCAATTATTCAAACATCGATGATCCTAGTAAATTAGCTTGAAAACTTTTTTTTTGTTCTATGAATTTGACGACAAACGCAGACACTGAGATACATAAACTATACAGAGTAAGCCAAGTTTATGAGCAGCATTTCAATACATAAATCTCGTTCATTAGCGAAACTGCCGGACATTCAGTAAGAGGATTGTCGTGAAACATCTTTCCCCGTACATTACCTCAACGACGCAACTATTCGAGGGGGAACATGGGCGGTTTGTATACTGACATTTTTTCTATATGTCTGGTATAGCACTGAAGGCTAATTTCAAAGATTTACATATTTTATCGTAAATCATTTCTGACCATAGAAAAATTTAGGCTGAAACCTTGCCTGTACCCTATCAAAATACAGAGGTACGTACATTTACGATCGTTTTATCCGTCATTATTCTTAAAGCGTGTCCGTAGCCTAGAGCAGAAACAACTTTGTGGGCACGCCATTGTCATAACTGATATAAACATAGAATCCTTCGTCTGAGATGGCCATCTACAGAACTTCCTTCTCTTCTATTTTATTATACTGTCTTCCCAAACTCTGGTTTGTTCCAATCGTTCCATCAGCAAAAGAGATACTGTTAAATGAAGATAAACTGTTTACTTACATAGTTCTATATTAAAGACAATATTACTATATGGTGTCATAAATGTGGTCAATAAAATACAAATGATAACGGTAACTATAATTATCATAATACAACGCGTAACTATATACGACACCTGCAGAAGTTTCCCAGTCTATATATAAA